AATTATGTGACTAGTGAAAGCCTGATATCAGGAGAGATAAAGGAAAAAATTAAACATCCAAATATTATTATTTCTGAAAGCAATAGTTTTCATGTCTTGCATTGTCAAATCTCCCAAACTTAACATATTGTAGTAAAACTCCTCTTTCTTTCACCCGTGCTTCCCTGAATTCCCAATGTCAAGTGGTGATAGTTCCAGGCTTTTAATTCTCAAAGCTGGACGTGGTGGCGCATGCCAGCAGCTCCAACACTTTCGGGGGGAAGGCGCAAGAGGATCCCAATTTCAAACCCAAAGTGGGTAGAGTAACAAGTTGGAGAGAGAGAGATTCTTCTCAATATGAATGCCCTGGATCAATCTCAGTACAAAAAGGGAGGGAGGGAGGGAGGGAGAGAGAGAGAGAGAGAGAGAGAAAGATCTGGCTATCTTAAATTTCTCTTTCACCCTAAGGATTAGCTAAGTAATGGCAAAGCATGCTGCAAAACCATGCAAGACATGAAAAGAAGTAGGTTTGATACCAAACTCCATCCAAAGGAGGGAATTTCCAACATACTGACAGGTAGGGTATGACATGAGATTCTGCACAGCTAAATTCAATGGACTTATTTTGCCGAGGCATATTGTTCTACGCACCAGCAGTTTGTGAATCTGACCTCTCATCAAAATAATTTTAGGAGAATTTCAGTGTCATCATTCTCTCTTCCTTCTCTTCACCTCCATGCACAGGTTCATTTTAAATTCACACAGGTACAGTGTTTCTGATACGAAAGGCAAATCTTGGAACTGACATTATATTTGAGAACGAAAGTAAAAGCGGGACAAAGCACGGGCTCTTGAACAAATCAGTTATTTGAAGTTATTATAGGAGCTTGATTTCCATTTCCTGAGGAATTCATTTCTGTAGAAGGGCTGTTTGGTTTATGACTAGATATCGCCAAGAACCTCGTGTGCTCATAAGATAGGATTTTGGAAGAAGATTGGGCCTGGTCCATAGCTGACCTGCTTTTAGGAGGTAGGGTCTGCTTAGAGGAGAAGGTTTGCTGGAGACATGACCTGGGGTGTGGGGGGGTCTCTGTCCCACCTTCCTCCTTCTCTTTCTGCTTCTGGGCTCCCATGACTTGAGCAGCTCTTATAAGCCCTAGCCTTTCTGCCATGAATTTTCTGTGTGTAAGCCTGCTGAACATGGACTGTAACTTCTGAGCCATGAGCCAAAATGAACCTCTCCTCTTTCAAGTCTCGGCTGTTGAGTGTTTTGTCTCAGGGACTAGGAAAGTGGCCAAGATAGTGGCCAAATCTAATAAAGTAAATTTGCAAAGAATGCTTAGAATGACACAGACTCACATTAACTGAATATTAAGGCTATCAATGTTTTATTCTTCGTCTTGAGGGACTAGAATATGAACCAACAATCCAGCCATAATTTGCTAGCCCAGTGCATAAGTGTGTGTGCCAGAGATTAAGGAGAAAACTGGAAGTGCTTTCTAAATGAGCACCTAAAACGTAAATGATCTAGTCCATAAGACATCTGAAACCATCATTCTGCCTAATTCAGCACGTTGCAGAATTGATATCAGGGGCCCACCATTAATCACTGGTCTTAACTGTCCCCAAATGAAATCTTGGAAGAGGAAGCCCTGCAGACTTCTAAATCCCAGGATATAAAGTTAGGCAAAGAAAGGCATTTACAACGTCTATCTACAGCAGAGTAGTTTTCAAGACATGCTGGTGCTACATCGAAAGTTATAGCTCAAATTCTCTCCTTTTATCTTTCCTCTTATTTTTATTCTTTATAAAAAAAATTTTGACCTTTCATTTAATTAGTGTAGACCAGCTATGCAGAAAAGTGGATTTGTTTTGGTATAGCTGCATGGGTATACAATGGACTTCAAATAGTTTCACTTTCTGTTATCTACCTTCCCCTTTTCGGCCCCTTTCTTTGATCCCCTTTCTATCTTGTAATAGTCTCCCTTTACTTTCCTGTGATCTCTTGTTTTCCAAGATTTTTAGATTACACATATGAAAGAAAATGTGCAATATATTTTGCTTTATATGATGATTGTCAGTTCTGTCATTGTTCCTGCAAGTGACATGATTTTATTTATTTATTTTTTTGGGGGAGTACCAGGGATCGAACTCGGGTCCTTGAGCTTGTGAGGCAGGACACCGAACCGCTGAGCTAAATCCCCGGCCTGACATGATTTTATTTTTCATTATCTTACCATCATTCTTAACCTTCATCATTTTGTGCCTGAAGACCAGCCTCTAGCTAGCTTTTCTGCTTCACTGTGGCCCATCCAGGATCTCCTTTATATTCCATGAAGAGATAGGTTTCTAAAAGGAAACCTTGCACTCTTTCCTTCTCCTTGTCATTTTCCCCCCTCTCCCCTCCCCCCTCTCTCTCTCTCTCTCTCTCTCATTTACCCTCCCCACCTCCACTCTACTAGTGAAAAGTTACCTAAGTAGTTCATCCCCATTTTGTTTGGCTTGCTAAGGCCTTTGCCATGTGGCTCAAACAACTCCATTTCAGTCCTGCACATTCTTCCTCCAAACATAAACCTCTGAATAGCTTACGTCTTGTTCTTTGATGTGTCTTTTTCTTTTGTGCTTTCATGATGCAGTGAACTATTGCTCCAAAATCATTTTTAATGTATAAATTTATAATAATTAAAAATTGTGTTTAATTATTTGATCTTAGAATTAAAAGCATTGTCCTAAACTGTGGAAAATGATAATTTAATCTTTATAAGGTGTTAAACATCTATGTGCTGTAAAATGTTAGATAAATTTTTGAGATTAAAGAAGAGAAACGTCATGATAATATTGGCAAGGGGTAGAAAGGAAAAGGGAGGGAAGGAAAGGATGCTGTGCATGTATTCAATAGCATTTATTTCTTACATGTTGTATTTGCTGTACACCAAGGTATAGATATGTGGTTAATTGTTACCAAGCTCTCACTACAAGTTTTGGTAGTGAGCTTATGTCTCCATTTACCAGTTTCACGCTATTTTAGTGATAATTCTTCAAGAGAATTCTTGACACCAGCCAAGGCAGGTTTCTTCTCCCTCTCTCTTATCTGAGAAATATTCCACTGATCATTAGCCCTTATTATTCTCTTTAGGATCATATTTTCAAATTTTGTAGAAAAACTGTTTTTTATTTTGGTTTTGATTAGTTGAATTGAATGTATACATTTATTTAGAGAACGAATATTTTCATAATATTTATTCCTATCTATGAATATGGTATATTCATTAATTTTTCTCTCCCTTAATATTTGGTGATATCTTTTTATGCCTTTCCCTTTAAGGATTTTCTATTAGTATTTAACATAACTATTTGAAATAGTATTTAAATTTCTTTGTTTCAACTATTTTTCCTTATACATATCCAGAATGTAAAGTTTTTCCCCTTTTTTCATGACTACATGTTTTTCATGCCACTAAGAAAATAAAATACATTTGTATTCCTAATCATTTGATCCCAAGTGAATTTAAAAAACAGACTCTTTTCCTTTTAACTCAATCATTTCTTAAAAATTAAAAGGTTATAAAAATTTGATTTAGAAGAATGAACACTTTTGTTAAATTAAAAAAAAATCTTGAATGGTCATTATAGTTCTTCCCCAAATGAGATTTTAGCACTGCTATGGAAATAAAGAGGAAGGAGGAACAATTAAATGCTGTTTTATAGTTTGTATATTTTTAAACATATAGATATTATGTACGAGGAGAAGGAAAATTGGGTAAAGCTTGCAGGTGGATTCCAGTAAAATAAATCTTTTCCATAATCACAGGCTTCATTAAATAATATAAATTTGTAGATTAATTCTGTATCAATTATGTGAAGTACATTTTTTCTAATGGAATCAATTTTTACATAGAAATATGACTTTTTGATTTGAGCCCAACTGGAGGTATTAAATAATTTTAGTAAAATTCAAATAATACATCATAAAAATACACAAAAATAATGTACTTTCTTACATAGTCAGAATGGAAGAATTTGTTGTTTTCTTATAATTTGTTAAAATAAAATCAACCTTCCTGAGATTTGTATCAGGATTCCCTGTACAATGAAAGCTAGGCTCTATTTCACAAATTTATCAGCCATTGCCAATTTTTCATATTTATTTCAATGTAGAAAAATCATTACATGAAAAGTTAGCTAACAGTACATGAAGATGGGGATACTGAGAAAATATTTCTAATAAATTGATGTGTAATGTAACTACACAAAGTAGGTGTTTTTATTAACAGTATCAATCCTACTATCATGAAAATAAGTTTAAATTTTGATGACCCCTCAAATTCACTTACAGATTATATTTGAAAGAAATAAGTATTCATATTTTTCTAACCAGTATGCAAAAAAAAAACCTAGAAAATGAGATGTAACATGAATAATTTTTTTAAAACAAAGACATATGCTCACATATGTGCATGTGATTGATCTGAAATCTTGGTTATAAAATTGGCTAGTAACAATATTCATATAAAATATTTTGAGTATAAATAAGCTGCTTTTCAGTTTTAAGTTAGTTTGTATAATGGCCTCTTCCTTTTGGAGAGTTATATTACATGTTTTCAACTAAAAAGACAAGTAAAATATAAAATAATTGAAATGTTTAAAATGACACAAGTGGAACATCATTTCATAAAAATTTATCATGCAAACCAAGTGAAAAATGTTCTCACTTGCAAAGATTAAACTGATGAATGATGGAATAATCTACATTTATGTATTTTTATTTTGGTTGTATATTATATGAACACCATAATCTCATTTAGAAATATGCATGTGTGAATTATTTAATAATTTTTCTATAGCAAATACTTACTCTTGCATCATTCTAAAACATTAATTTTATTTAAAAATACAGAAAATATTGAAATACATATAATATGTATTTGGCTTGCTATTGATTTTAATTTCCCCTTATATAAAAATACTTGGAAGATGTAGCCTCAGAACAAATGTATATCACTTTGTTTTAATCTTAACAGTAAAGAAGAATCATCAATTACATCAGAAGAGAATAACTTTAGGGAATCAAAGTTTACAGGTAATATTTAATTTAAAAAACATTATTTATTAAAGTCTACAATTATAACAATCTCACAAAGGTACAATTATATTAACTTTTCAGACACCGGTACACCAACAATCATTTGCTCTCATGAGGACAAGGAAGACTTGGAATCCAGTAATCAAAATGTAAAAGATGTAAACAGGGAACATGATGAACATAATGAAAAAGAATTAGATTTGATGGTAAGTGTTCTGGTTGCCACGGCATTCGCAAAGATGAATCCATTTATGCTTCAGAGGTGCTGCAGTGCCTGCCTTTCAACAGCTTTAACTAATATAATTTGCAAATGTAAAAGCACAGCCTATTCTGCCCTTGCATCTCTAGCTTGATCAACAAAGCACTTTGATTTCAGTATATTGCTTCTGGTCTCTGCAGGGGTAAATTAATAGCATTCATTTCTTACCTCTGTACCTACAATTTTGAGAAATGGTTAGTAGGAATTGTACGAGAGGTAGCGCTATTCTGAGGTGCATTTCTAATCTTTGTGACAAGTGTACAGTTAGCATAAACTTATGTGTAAAATAAGAGTGCCGGACAGATCATTGTTAGGGTACTGTCCAACTCTACAAGTCTGTAATACTTACATTTTGAAGCATTTTGTTTTACTTTCACCCTTGTGCAAATCTCAAAGTTCTATATCATTGTAAAGTATTAAATTGCCAAGTGAGAAGAAAAAGCCTGTGCCATATGTTTTAAACAGGAAACAAATTCAGTCTTGGGTAATTTAGTTTTAAATTTTTTACCATAAATTTCACACTTGGTGAACATTCAACCCATTTGGAATTTTGAGGGGAATAGTTTAGATAGCACTTTTATCACAAAGAAAGAAATAGAAGTAAATGAGTCACATAATGCAATTTATCCTTTATTGTATTTGGTAGGAGCTCATATCATTGGGATACATGGATTCATAATCATCTAAGATAAAAATAACATTTGCCTTTTCAAGTGTCAGTGCTGAAAAAGAAAAGAAATAGAGCTCATCTCTTTTCCCACATTTTCTACCTTTTCAATAGTGATATGGCAACTGCATCACTAAAGTATGCAATTTACTTTGCTCCAACTTTAAGAAACTACAAAGTTGTCACCCATTGTGAGAATTCTCACCAGCTGAAAGTTAACATCACCATTTTTTTTCAAACCACAGAATATAATGAAAGGGCCTTGAAAAAAAATCACATGCTTCACCAATATACATCATTACAATGAGCAAGCTGAAATATAAAAGTTTGTTTAGAAGTTACTGAGAGTGTACATCCAATAAATGAACACGGAGCTGTAATTTAGATGCTAATTTGCTCCATGCTGACATTAATGCATAAAACAATGAAGTTCTATAATAGATGGAAATACAACCAAATCTGTGAACCTACAGGCATTGGCTTACAAGACAGCTGTGCAGTTGACAAGTAACATGAGCCTTATGTGAGAAGAAGGGGAAAATGTAAGATTTGCATATAATTATTGAGATCATGCAAATGTCAGTTATGAGGAGAGAGAGAAAAAAAAACACACAGGCATCTCACTGTTAAATCCTGACAGTTGGCATCACTGAAGAGCTCAAATACATTTGAGTACCAGTTGGCAGAGGGTCATTAAAACAGAATTTGCAGAGACATTAACTCCCTCACTTTTCTTTGAGTGACGTTTTGCTATTAATAGTTTGCAGAGGCTTTGCAGAAAACATATTAATAAGAGAAACTGTAATGGGGGCACCTACAGCAAGTATAAATGCAGCATGGAGCACCCAGGAAGCTGCTCTCTAATTGATTAGCATGGAGCTATCAATGTGTATATCCTAAGTGAGGAGAAAGTGCAATGACAAGCAAGAATAGTTGAATAATACAATATGATATTTGGAAGCTGGGAAGGAGAGTGATTAATTTGGGCCCCTTTTCTTACTAATCTCATCCCCAAGTGATAGCCTACAAGGATCTCCCCAAAACATCCAGCTTCTAGAGTTTGTATGAAATCCACAAATTAAATGAGCCAAGAATATCTACCAGATAAGTACCAAATTAATAAAGGCTATCTAATTCATTCTCTCTCTATAAAAGGATCATATGGTCATTATTTTTTGTTGTTGTTTTTGTCCCATAAGATACATCAACACTTAATAAGAACTAGAAGTGCTGCTCCCAGGGATGAAAAGGATACATTTTCATCAGATCCAGTCAATTTTCACAATAAAGCTAAGGGGTTAGAGAAGAAGAAGGTCCACGGTAAACTATGCACTGACTTGTTCGAAAGGTCTTTGTCTCCAAATTCATCAGCAGAAAGCTCCTTAAAGGGAGATTTTTTCCACAATGAAAAATATTCCTCCAGATATGAATGTAGTCATCAACTTTCAGAGGAAATTACTTCAGAAATGAAAGAAATCAAGACATCATTGGAAGATACTAGTAGTAATGAATTAGTGCAATTACATATTGGTAGGCTGGAGGATAACGCTGATCCAGCCCACAGGAGTGGCAGAGTGAAAACATCTTGCTCCTCCCCAGATCAACGAATGGCAGGTGATCGTAACAAAAATCATGAAGGAGGAGCTAAGAAAAGTGAAATAAAAGATTGGGAATGTTTAAGTAAAGATTTCCATTCAGGTCTAGGTGCATATACAGAACGATCAACAGACAGTGAAGATTATGGCAAGGTTAAAGATGAAAAGGAACAAAGAGTGCACCTAGGTGTTAAAAAACAGAGCAGACTTTTTCAGTCACTCTTGAATGACCACGAAAGAAAATTGAGCCAATCTGAAATAAGTGTGGAAGGGACTGAAAGTAGGGAGAAAGATTTAGCAGCTCTGTCAAGTAAAGGTACCACAATCCCTGCCCATGCAGTAACAGAAGTTACATTTCCTTCATCAAGGATAAATTTAAATTGGGAAGAAACTACGCTGATGACTTCAGAGAGTGATCACTCTGCTGGTGAAGGCACAACCTCAGAAGGGATAGATAGTAAAGTCTGCTTATCAAGAAAGAGAAATGTTTTGAGGGATGATTATCTTTTCCAAGCTGAAGAAAAAGCAGATTGGATTAATCCTGAAGATAGGGGTAGAAACACGCAGCATACACAAAATTGGAATATTCTAGAAAGTCAGGAAAAGGTAAAAGGGAGTCAGACAAATATAAAGGAGCAGATCAAAGAACAAGCAGATTGTGAAGACGTGTTGGGGGAAAGAGATAACACAAGTTTGAATGTTACCCCTACTGAAGAGCTGTTTACCTGCCAAGAAACAGAATGTGATGAACTGTATTGTCTAGCTGATCATGGTGTTACTGAGAAAGCACAAGCAGGTACAGCTTATATAATTAAGACACCATCAGAAAGTACTCCAGAAAGCATGTCTGCTAGAGAAAAAGCAATAATTGCTAAGCGATCTCAAGAGACAGCACGAAGTGACAGGCCCATCGAGGTAAAAGAAACAGCGTTTGATCCACATGAAGAGGGAAATGATGATGTACTTTATACCCTTTGTCAACGAGATACAGCAGGTGTAATCTACGACAACGAATTTGAAAAGGAATCACATGTGGATATTTGTAATGTACGTGCAGATGAAATAGAGAAGGAGGAAGCCATGCATATGTACAATCCTGGGAAGATGCATGACAGGGAGAAACATGGTGCTGGAAATATATATGCAGAAGAATCTTCTCAGCGCATCACAAGCAATCAAAAAGAAACCTCAAACTTGGACTTACACTCAGAAGTATCATCAACAGACAAAAGAATATTTGCAGAAAATAGAGATCTTCAGCAGGTCCAAAATTTATCAAAGAAAACAGACTTAGAAGTTGCTAATCGTTCTGCTTCTAACTCAGACAAAAACAGAGCTTCTCATTTGGGCTCTCGTGTTTCCAGTCAGCATCCTGAAACATCAGTGCCATCTTATGAAGAGGCCAAAGAGAATACCATTTCCACCAAATCTATTTCTACTGAATCAGAAGATAATTGCGATCCAAGTGGAATCCAGGGTCACCTGGGGTCTAAACCCAAGGAAGTCTGCACAAGTGCAGAAAGTTCATCAGGTCGTAGAAAAGAAAGATGTATGGGGCAGATTTTCCAACCAGGAGAATATAGTGTGGGAAAATCTATAGGGCCAACGATTTTAATTAGTGAACCTCTTGAGAACACGGAAGAAGCAAGGCATGATAATGAAGGATCATTGAGCTCTGGACAGTGCTCTTCAGACGACAAAGCATCTGAGAACTATGCCTCTGCTAGTTTTCCTGTCCACAAAAGTGAAGCTCAGAGCAGTGAATCTCTGCTTTCAAAATATGCCAACTCTAAAATACCTTATTTTCTTTTGTTTCTCGTATTTCTTGTAACCATATATCAGTATGACCTAACGATAGGCTTGGCATTCTACCTTTTTTCACTGTACTGGCTCTACAGGGAAGCGGGGAGGCAAAAAGAATCTGTCAAAAAGAAGTAACCTTGGTGCTAGTACTAATCTCTCTTAAAAGATAAGCTATTTAGCCCCAAACATTTGGATTGGTGAAAGAGGCTATTCCTTGTTCAAAGAGCCAGTGCAGTTTTTCTCTTGAAGGATCATTTAAAAAGGAATGCGTATGAAGTTTGCTCCTTCATATAAGTAATTATTCTATGTAGGACCATTATGTTTGGATCATTAAATACCTATATGAATATGAGATCTGGAGCACGTCAAATTGAAATTAGGTACAGCTGCGGCTCCTTAGCAGGCTATGAAGTTGCAATGCTTAAAGAGCTATTTCTTGCATTCATTTCTTTTGCAGTCAAGCTTCATCCTTTTTCCTGTGAGCACTTTTCTTCCTGTGGTTTTTAAAAATAGATAAGATGTGGATGATGGCAGAAGATTTTTTTTTTTGGTCCTTTGGAATTGCCCATGAAATTTGCATTTACCCCTGTAACATTTATCAGCACATATTAATAGATCAAATAATTCAACTTCTATTTCATACTTTAAAAAAAATCCACCATGTATATTAAAATATACAAACTTAAATTGAAGAAATAGATTTCGTTTACTTGAATTATATGTTACACACACATACCTTTTACTTACAAAATCTGAACATTCAACATAAGACAAACTTGGCAACACTGAAACAAATGTCTAAAATTAGACAAAATTTTGTGAGTGGCCTGTCTTTGAGCAATGTTTTTCTCTTATAAAGAAAGACTATAACACAGCAGAGCGATTCAAATATTAACTATTATTGACACTTGAAAGTCTAAATTAAAAATTCCACAAGCATTGTTTCAAAATTACTTTGTACCTGTAAAAGTATAAGGCGTTAAATGATAATAATAAAAGATGTCCAAATGAACTCTTTGTTCTATATTGTAGTATTTTTGTCTTCAAATAAAGTTTTAATCTTTTCCTCATGGTAAGACAATAAACTGTCCTCTAAAGTGAACTTAGAGAAAAAAACTCCTGGTCTTTGGTGACATTCATAATCTGCTTATCCGATTACAAAACGATCATTCAAATTTTAAGTCGCTAAATATATATGTGTGGAAATCTACTGAAGAATAAGTGAATATCAATAACAGCAGTGACTTTGGATGTAATTGTCTATGGCTAGAAGAAGTGAAATAATGGAACCAATCACATATTTAGGTGAGAATCATGTGAAAATTTGTACACAATTTATTTCAGCTCTTTATTGAAGACTATAGTAGGCAAAATGCTGTGGTCTGTTCTATGGCATAGCTCTTCCTTTGATAGTTTGTACAACAACTTCTAGGAATGGGGATGATCCTACTGGCTGAAGCATTGTAAGAAAGTAACAGAGAGAAAGAGCCTATTTGGATGATGCCTTTTTCATAGGAATTTGTTTCGTAAAACATATAATATTGATCTTTAGAGTAAAAAAGAAATCTATTTACCAATAAAATAAATTTAGTAAGTAATATGTGCACACATCACCCCACAAAGACATATTCATTTATAAGAAGACAATATAAGAATGACACATTTAAACTGATTTTCATCTGCGAGTCCTTTGATTTCCTTCCTTTTCATTAGCTACACAACTATTTCCCAATCCTTTCATTGCATGATACTCTCAAGTCTCATTGAAAATGAATGCTTGGCTTCACCTCTTTAGTTACCAAATATAAATATCTTGAAGTAGAACTTAGGGCAAATATTTGATTATTGAAAAGCATATTTTTAAAGTACTAGTGGAATACTGTAAAGCAGTACCTAGAAATTATCTCTAAAATTGCTGTCCTGATAATTTTGTTGACAATTCTAAATTACAGTGGAATCAAGGTTAGCATTTTAAAAATTCTTCTACTTTTTTAAGAGTTTAAGTCAATATGCCTATCACATTAATGCAAAACAAAGAACACTACATTATTTTATGAACACAGGTGACCAAGCTTGAATTATTCCCCCAAAAGAACAATATAAACTTTTTAATCTTTTAATATGACTTGGTAACACCGATTTTTCAATCCTTTGCACACATTTATAACAAAAAAAGTACAAAATTTCCAAAGATTTAAAATATTACATTGTGTATCTTTTTGTATGCAATGAAGAAATACTTGATGGCAAATTTATTTTCCAAAAAAATACTAATAAGGAAATTTAAATAAAGTCGTATGAACTTGCGAAAGTATTGCTAAATGGAGACTTAGATTTTTGTAACCTGTTTTGGTCATTTTACTGGGTTGATCAAGGAAAAGGAGATCTCGGGGAGAACTAGCATACATATTTGGCTCTTAAAGATGTGACTGTGAGTTATTGTGGGAGGGCTCATCTTCTAAATCCATCCACCTGTACCATGTGCAACAAATATTTGCTTAAGGGGTCAAAGGGGAAGTTGCAGGAGAGCCATAGAGAGGTGATGATATAGCTCATTAATATATTGATCAAGAAACACAAAATAAAAACATCACCTTTGATCTTCTTGCTATTGAAAGAAAAATCCAAACAATTAGTTCATAGTAAAAAGACTTATCTTTTAAAAACTCACATTCATATAATCCATCAGTGTCACAAGCAATTTCTCAACTAGCAGGAAGAGGACAAATAAGATGACCTTCACCTTTCAATATTAATAAAAATTGTGTTGATGGAGCCATGTTACTGTGATGAGCTTCAATAATTTGAGGGGAATTATTTTAGGGAATATCCATATTTATATATTTAATGCCATTTTGTGAAAGAAACAGTATTTTCTGTCATCTTATGCAAGTCTTCTAGCTAAACTGAAAGGTAAACATATCCAGTCAAACTTGGAGAAGTATTTTATTTTTTCTCAAAAGCATTTATAGCGTCTTCTTAATGATACATTTTCCAGTAGTGAATATTATTTCATATTCAAAAGTCTTTTGTCTTCTTTACTAGGCTCCCTGTTTGCATGTACTTCAGCTAAAAAAAAAGCAAGCAAAACATAAAAAAAAAAACTAACAGAACTAGTAAAGATGAAGTTAGATCCATCTGCTGATTTGTTAAACAGTATCTGACTTCTCAGTTTTCACTGAGTGAATATGGAAATTGAACTATGCCATAGAGATCTTGTATTATTATTTAAATCCATATTGGCCAGTTCTTATGGAATTAAGGACTAAGACAGATTTAGATTCTGCAACAAGGTTAGAATTCACTGTGACAGGCCATGATCTCCAGGTATCTCCATGGTCTGGTATCTATAAAGAACAGCTAAAATGTTATTTTTTTATTTGATTAAATTCATATGCTTTTTTCTATGTTTCAGGAAAAAATAATAAAAATCTTGACAATGTACTTTTCTTTTTGCCTTTTAAATTAGATCTAGCCATTGATTCAATGTGTCCACCAGTTATTCAAATCTTTTAAAATTGCAAATTAAATTTTCACTAGGATTTGAGTCTGGTTTTCAATGTGCACATATTTTACAATAACTACTATAATGTAATGTACTAAAACCTTATGAAACAAAAATTATTTTTAAAATACAAGTTTTCATTTACATCATATCCATATCTGTTAAATACTTACACATCATATTCATTTTTTAAAAATATGAAACAAAACGTTGTGCGAACATTTAGTTAAAAATCCTTAAAACTATTTTCTAATATCACCACTTCTTTGTGTTCATGGTAAGAAAGAAAGGGGGTCCTAGGTAAGTCAACAGTGGATTGTGAAGAAATCATCTGTGTTTGGTTGTGATGCCTCTATGACGGGACACTATAGCAGATTTCAGTGCCTCATTAAATAACTCCTCTTGGTTGAAATCGGTGTATCTTTCTTCTTGTTACCCAACTCAAACCATTCGGTCTTACTTTTTATTGTCCCCTGCCTCAAGTGCTGTGTAGTTAAGCAAGTCACATTTTGAACTGGAATATGACTTTACTTGTGTATAGTGTAATTTTACTTGTTTATATACCTCTGCCTACAGGACACCTTCAGCTATCTCTTAAGTCACACTCAATTTGTACAATTTTTAATGCACAGTTTAAGCCTCCATCCTTTTGAAGTATCTTCATATTTGAGTTTGTGGGATCTTTCTATTTCATTTAGCCTATAACACTAACCCCCTTCTGGCACACACGGATTTTGGCCAACTTACATTAACTGAACTGCATACTTGGTCATGACAGGGACAAAGCTTTTCTCTTCCTGCATTTCACCTTCTAAGGTCTGATTTCTAGGAAGTCTAAGCCAATTCTTGTGGGTGGGATCGAACTATAATGATGTCTTTCTCCTTCCTTTCCCACCTGTGAAATGTGGACAGGATGCTCTGAGGTCTGATTTAAACCTGAATCAACTTAAGCAAATCAAAGATAAATTCTAGTAGAATCTAAAGATAAATTTAAAAGGGCAAAAAAAAAAAAGGTGGAAAAGTGCAGTGCATTTGAGATGTGAGAGAAGCTATCCTTTTTATCCATTTCTCTTTTACACTGATTTTCTGTATTTGTTAATTCATCCTAGCACACATGAAATATTCTCTTCATTTATTGCTCAGAAAATAATATACATATTATATATTGAAAGAACAATATTGCATAGCTTTATTTCCTGGCTATGGTGAAAATGAATAGAACCAGATATGTTTTTATATAAACTAACTCAGTAGCTTAAAAATCAACAAATATAACAGGTATAAAGTGTAAGAAATTCAATGTTCCCTGCTGCTGCCATGCCCTTTGCAGATGGCTGATCTCTCCATTTCACACCTGTTCTGCATGTCAACCTTTAGGTAAGCAAACTAGAAAAAAAATGCACAGTAGGTTTTCAATAAAATCGTGTCTGATTTACACACGCACATGCACATGCACACATAGAAACACACATGCATGGTATGATTTTCCATAAATGACAGGAATACAGTAATATTTAAATATTATGTCCAATGAAGTATATAAAATTTGGAGGTTTGTCCTTCCCTTGAAGAGATTCATCTCATCAGATTTAGATATAAAATTATAATGGTAACACAAAATCACAGCTATTTTTGAGTCCCAAAATAGCTGAGTTCTAAGAAAATAGGACATGTGATAACTGTAATTGCATGCCATATAATAGTGTACAAGCCAGATACATGTCTACTATA